CAGAAAGGAGCCGAAGTTGAGCCAGAGAGGTGTAAAGTCAGGCGATGAACTCGGGTTAAGTGAGTATCCCTGGACTTGAAATGCACTATCGGCTTGTAAAGGTGATGTGACAAGTACCGAACTCGACCAGTGCTTTCGGTCTCGGGGTTACGATTGGCAGGCTCAGTATATCCTTAAGCCAGATATTCGTTAGTGGCTGTGATGCAGAGGCCGTGGTGACGTCTGTCCTCGATAAATCCCTTGCCAAGAGGGTTGGGTCTTTGGCGAGAAACGAGATAGTTAGATGGTAAGCTCGGGAAACGCGTTCTCTGGAGCCACGGCTCTCTTGCTGGTATTGTCTGAGTAAATAACGAAGCTGATGAAAGGTCCATGCCTTGTTAGATTGTGGCGCTTCAGCCGACAGAGACTTACCTATATCAAAATTGACCCGAGTGGTTAGCACCTCCTTCTGACTGTTGAGAGTGGTGACGCTAGTTTTAGTACACTATCCTTGTTAGCCCGAACTTTAATGCGACATCCTCTTCCGGCATCGTAGAATCGGAATCGATGTCAAGAAGTGCTTAAACTGCAAATTCAGCGGGGGGATTTTCAGGCAGCGAATCGCGTGCCACGGACGTTCGACTATCCGACCCGCTGGAGCAGTTACTGCTGACTTTCGAGTGGCATTCGTCCTGTAATTGTGACTCACTAACTTTGGTGACGGCAGAGGCAGAGTAGGCGCAACGAGACGTGTAGGTCTTCTCATTCATTTAGTCCGCAGCATCCTCTTGATCGACCCCACTTCGCATCATGCCTTGGCTTGAAACAAAGTTAGCACAGTACAGCTTAGAGGATAATCTGTGCACATTCATTGAGGTGGTGCCCTTTGTCGCGGCGAAAACACGAACTAGACAATGTACAATGTTCCCCATTGCTAGGCCTATTAGCCGCGGAAGTCGTCACAAGTGTGGAGAACCTTGGCAGTGGTGTCGCTACGAGCTACGGGGGTATCCCAATCTGAAACAAAGAAAGCGTTCAGCCCTAGCACCCTTTCGGTGCCTAGCTGCCATGCCACCCGAAGGAAGCACGAGGGCTGGGATACTGCCAGGTTGCCCAAGCCTAGACAGGGAAAGTCGAGAGGCGGAGGTCGGATTCGAACCACGGACCTTCCGGTCAGTAAATTCGCGCTCTTACCACTTGGGCCATCTCGTCCATCCATCCTTAATCCATTCTTAATCATTTCCTGACCAGCATTCAATCAAAGTGGTTCGACCGAGTCTCAGAAATCCTCAGGAAGAAAAGAGAATTCAGTGTCATTGTCTTGACCGATTATGCTCGAGATCGAACGGACTCAACATCGGTTAGATATTCCCACCACCAAGCATGGCTTAGTGGTAGGAATGATTCAGGATGGAAATAGAAATTTTCCGTCCTATAGTCGTTCTGGTATTCATTCCAGATAAACGATTCAGCTGTGACAGAACTAGTCTTGATTGAGTCAGATAGTTTCAGTAGGCAACTGGCATCATTGAGCTTAATTGGTGGCCCGTTGTTGATAGACGGGATGTACTCCCGATCGATAATTGGGGAATTACCAATCACCACCACCATCATCAAAGACAGCAACATCATTGTTGGCACTGATGCTCCAGTGCCGTACAACCATGAAGTTCTACTTTATATATATATATATATATATATATATATCAAAAGCCCTAGAGTGAAAACAGTAGAGTGATGACGGGGGACATAGTGCAGGCCTATGTCTGAGGTGCCTACACCTCCAACCGCTCAATCAGACAATCTGGAAAGAAACTGACAGCACGGACGCCACTGAAGTCAGTTAGTCGCCATTTCTTGCAGCGTCTCCAGCCAAGCACAGATAGGGTCACGGGGACCCCACCTTGGAAGGCGCACAACACCAACAACACGCAAACTCTTCGCCATCTGTTCCATGCTTTTCTGCCAAGTCATGTGATGTCCATCTCGCGGTTGGCGCCATCCTGAAGGAGGCACGGAGAACAACACTCGTCTCGGTAGATGGTGTTTCGGCATGCGTAGTACATGACCGAACCATCGTAGTCGATGATGCTGGATGTTTTCTCGGATTGAAGTGCCTACAGCACAACCAAATACTCGTTTTCTAAGCACCTCGTTACTAATACGCTGACGCCATCCATAACCAGCCACGCTTCTGAGGCATCGGTGGTCGAAAACCCTACCCATACAACAACACAACCCTTATTGTAGCCTGGTACACAAGACCCTTAAGATCCATTGAGATTCCTTTTTTATGCTGCAAGTGACGCAAATTAGCAAAAGTGATTCGAGTTTTTGAGATTCTTGCACTGTCTTCAGCGGACACACTTCCGTCGGAGTTAATTAAACTGCCGAGGTATGTAAAGTTCTCCAGTTTCCAGTGATTCTCCGTGAATTGTAATGGATATGTTCGCAGATGACACGTTCTAAAGCATGACTTTGCACTTTGAAGGTGCAAGGCGCATGGCAAAAGATGGTATGATGGTAGTCAGTTTATTCGACAGGAATTGTGCTTCACTTTGATCTTCAAAAATGACGGCGATGTCATCTGCATACTCCAGATCGACAAGGCTCTCACCAGTAGAAAAATTTGTTCACCGGTCTTCAGAACGTTTTGAGGACTGTTCAGTGTTTGCCTCATTATTTAACCAATGACGAAGTTAAACAACAACGGAGAGAGTGGGCATCCTTGTCTGACACCGATTTTTCTAAGAAAGCTTCCGAAGAGTTCACCATACACTCACCCGCCCATAAGTATGTGAATATAGAGATCGAATTATGTTTACAAACTTTTGAGGCATACCTTGTTGAGCAAGTGTAGTTAACAACACTGATAAATCGACAGAATCAAACGCACCCTCGAAGTCAAGAAATGCCATGATTGTGCGTCGTCTGTACATGTGACGTTGCTCTAACACTTGACGGAATGTAAAGATTTGTCCAACGCAGCCCATACCTGGTCGAAATCCCGCTTGATTCTCACGAGTCAAGACTTTGCATGCCACCGTGAGACGACGAAGAATCAATGAAGCCAGAAGGCTTATCACAATACGAGTCAAACTAACGCCTCTGTGGTTACTACATTCAGTGTACCCTTTTTAAAAATGGGCACTACCATCGGTTCACCTAGTTGTCTGGGACCGTTTCTTCCTCCCAGATAAACTTAAATAGGCTAGATAGGCACTGACCGAAGAGTCCACCGCCATCCTTGAAAAGGGCAGATAGACGGTTTCAGGAACAGCGGCGTGATGAGTAGAAAAATACATTCGGACACTTCTGAAACTGAAGGCGGCTTCATATGCAAGATCCATCTTTCTGTCGAAGACCAGGATTCTGGATTGGAGGTAGCAGGTAGCCAGCTGAATTACTGTTCGAGGTACTGTACCCAGCGATCAAGCATTCTGCTTTGCTGCATATCAGAGAGCCATTTTGGTCTCCGATTATTTCGCTGACAAGAAGTTTTCGAGGGTCAATCGAACAAATCGAGTGGAACAGCTTGCGCACGTTTCCAGCATTCTTCGCATCTTCCAGTTCTTTGGCCTTCGGGGTTCACCAAGCTTCTCGGTCTTCGCGGACACTCGGTTTTACCTGGCATCCGATGATGCACCGGGTGGAGTTGTGGTGGTGGCCAGGGGGATCTGTTGGTGGGACTCCAGTAAGGACACGGTCCTACCAGAGATCCAATGCTTGGATGAGGTTGGCTGGGTTGTATAGCAAATAGACATTCCGGTTTTTAGTAGGGCTTTGGATATTTCCCAGTTGCTGTTTATATCCGACTCCTTACCGTCCGGCAGGCATTCAAAGAGCTGGTTCTGATAGTTTCTGACTCCACCAGCTTCTCCATTGCTAAGCGAGGTGTACGCTCTTCGCATACACCTAAAAAGGCCAATGAGAGGCAGCAGCGTACAAGTACATGGTCGGAGTCCACGGTGGTGTTTCAGAAGAAGCGGCAGGTGCTGATCGACCCTGACTGACGGCGATGTGGTCTGTTAGGATTTGGCGTTGGTTTGTTGATGTACACCGCGTTGTCAAGTGATTTCCGCTGCTCCGGAAATTCGTACTGCTAAGGAACAGTCTGTGATCTGAAGTAAGCGGTCTCCGTTGTCCGTGTGTCTTATGTCCAAACCAAGACGACCACCCAATCGGGCCTCAGCAGCGCTTAGTCTACCTACCTGGGCGTCCATACCACCAGCAACCACATTGATATATGAGCTCTGAACCCGCTGTAGAGGGGCACCTAGAGCGTGATAGAAACTGTCCTTGGGAGATCAAGAGCTACAGTCAGCTGGGGACGGAAGCAGACCAACAAGGTGCGATGAATTTCACTTCCTCTAGATTCTCTCACAGATGTTGCCAAACGAACCGCACAGAGGGGACTATAAACGGGGGTCGCACGAACAACCACTCGAACCAGTTGATTCGACTAGCTGGAACAGGTTACGACTGTTCACTGTTACAAAAGCAGTCTCCATTTCTCGGGCTGTTGATTCTTAGGCTCTTCAGTTTTCGGCATTTGAGGAATCTGCGCGCACCATCACAGTCGCTTGTTGCTGGTGCATTCTTCCTGGCTACAATCAGGGTTGCTTATCGTGACGAGATCCCTTGGCCATTGGAGTGTGCAAGCGACCTCGAGCAGATGGTTTCAAAGGCTGTGATCATGGCTTCTCTCACCTTTTACCGGTCGCCATCCAAATTACCATTAATTCCGTCGGGTTCTAGGGATTTCGCTGCCAGTTCAACTTGTGATGCAGAAGCGTTTTGTAGGTGGTACACTGAATGGCTTTGTATCAACAATCACTTTCCATAGAGGAGGCGTGCCCGCACAATGTCAAGCGGTGTTCCTCAAAATAAGTGGCAATCTCGTACCATAGCTCTCTACTTGCTGCTGATTGCCACATGGTCCAATTGAGCTCACTGCTAGTTAGCATGTAGCTAGTCCTCATGGGGCCGTTAACCACTACAAGCAGTTGATGGCCTCCAAGTCACGAGGTGCAAGCGCTTGTGCTGAAACAGATGATTTCAGCACATCGTTGAAAAAGCCGTTACCCATTATCCGTGTGGTAAGCGTCAACCTCGGTCGGTGGACTCACTCAGAAGTTGGTCGGTCAGCTTGAGCTTTCATATCACCTGCCAGAATTATATCTGTGCTTCTCGTTGGTCGGAGTGATCGCAACAAATCACGACGAAAGTCTTTCTCAGCATAAATGCTGCTGTCTTGTTGGACACAACAAGCACACCGTTTACACGTCGGGGTTCTATTATCTTGATTGNACCACGTCGGGATGTATTGATCTTGATTGAACCGCTCAACCTAATCACTCAAATACCAGTCCCTTAAAGCGCACTCAGCTTTGGGGCCATGCATAGCTCCTACACCGTAGATGCCAAAATCCAATGAATCAGAATAGCCCAACATCTGAAGGGTAAAGTGCGAGAACTCCCGAGTTCGCTCCGAGCGGTCTGAAGTGAATTACCGAATTGGGGTCTTCAGTACGTGGTGGCCACAATACAGCCGCATCCGTTTCTTATAGGGTTGATGAAAATTTCCAGACAAATGAGTTTATTTTGGCAGTAGTTGTATAGTGGTTAGGTTCAGGAGGTTCTGGTGTTCATAGGTGTTTAAGTTCAACATCATGCCACAGTATTGTTTTCTCTTATTCAGCAATATTGTCCTGATGTCATCTGATTTCGATTGTAGTTCGGAAGTGAAAGGGAAATGCAAACTGATCTTTTGACAGAGTGGATAGATCGAAACGATCATGTCCCAAATTGACTCTATCCACATAAGTGATGCGATTTTGTCTTTTCAAGGAAAGTTTGTAACGGCTGCTGGGTTGTTTCGCTAAAATTCAAATCGCATACAATCATCGCGGTAATGAAATTGGAGTGGTGGATGTGCTTAGCTGTCCCCTGTTCCATCTGCGGTATTAGGACTTACTATGCGTCCTCTTCCTACTTCAGTTCAATTTTGAAAGTATTTTCATATCGTTCGAACCACGAATCGAAGACAGCGTGTAGACGGTTTGAGCCTGGGACGGAAGTGGAAGATCTAAGTAAAGGTTCTTCACATCAAACTCTAAATCGAACGTAATTACACTGCTTAAAATAGGGTGTCCTTTAATGCCTTAATGACACGTCGCTTTAGGTTCGGCAACCTGCCAGTTCGTTCCAGGTCGAGGACATACTAACCAAGAAGCCAAAAATTGTCGGTGAACCGTTAGTAAAAAATGGGGGAATCTCGGGTTTATAAACCTAATTTTGTCCTCCAACTCTGCAAGTCTCTTGGGTGACTATAAAGGTCGCAAAGCTTCCGGAATTCTAGGGCAGACCGGTTGCTTCTGGTTGGCTGCTTGAACGTCCAATCAGGATGAAGCTTCCGACAAGGGGTTCTATTCATTCCTGGTGAGGCTCGTGGGGAAAAATGCAGCTTATATCCGAATTTCTTTGTCTCGTATTTGTGTTCAGGGAACTTATGTTCCTGACACTAGTCTCAAAAACGTCGGGAAAGAGGTTTAAGGGCATCGAATAATGGCTTAATTTTTGGGCGTTCAGAACAACGTCCAGCACATAGTTCTTGAAGTGGGTGAGAACAATCTCACAAGGAATAGGTGCTGGGGAAGTTTCCAGAGAATGTGCATTATTCTGTCGATTTTAGGCGTCTGAAAATAGGTTGAAGTAAGAGACGAAAGTGACTCTCCGACCTCAAAAATGTGGTCTAAAATTTAGCGCTGTTCCAACGAGGGAGACTTGATACTGCCATTGAAACCGATTTCCACGCTATAGGACAAGGGACTGAAAGTCCATCTAACTGCTCTAGATGAGCTTCGAAATAATCGATTTCAACCGTGCGCCTTCAGCAACTGATCAATCTTGTTACCCTCTTCGTGCTTTCGGCTCTGTCAAAGGTTGCTTTTCATGGATCACCCTGGAAAACCTACTCGACACTCGTTAAAGCAAAGTCGTGCGCCGTGCATCACTTTTATACCTATGAAACACCGTATCAATGAAAAGTGCGAAACTAAGAACGCTGTGGCTAAGAGGAGCAATATGGGTACGTACAGTGAAATGGAGGATGGGTTCAATCGGTGTAATGGATATGGTGGAATCAATTAAGAAGAGAAGCTGAATTCGAACAACCGCCCAATAAGACCCTTCACTCTACTGTTCGGTCACCTCTTTTCGCGGAATTCTCATCAATGTGTATGACTGACTATAATTTTTGGTCACCTTGTTGGCCAGTGGAGGCAACAGTCCGTCGAAGCCTCTATCTATGCCGTTCGCCGCAAAGAGTGTCGTTATAGTGTTATCACGAACAGTTACTTGGTCCCTGTCTTGAGATCGTATTTTCTAATATCCACTGTACGCTGCTGACAAACTCTGTCGTTTTCAGTTTTTTCCCTAATGATTGAACCGAATCGCAAACGGCCCTCGATTCTTCGAACGTCAGTCAGTAAGGCAGCCAACTCATCGCAAGGTACGTCTGTATTGCCATTTTGATGATTCTGTGGTCACCGCACATTTGCTTAGGTAACAGTAACAAACTTCTGAGATAAAATATAGTAAGTGACGTTCGGGTGCATAACTTAGTGGGTGTAATCTTCGGTTTGTGGTTTTTAACAATGTGCTCACCGACCGCTTAGCCCCATCTTGTGCGGCCATACGTTTGGTCACAAGATTAACTTTGCAAACATAGTAAACTACACTGTCACCCTTTTAAGAAGTACTTGAGTTGTGTTTATCACAGCCTGCCAGTTTTAGTTCAGGCAATTCACGAGGGACACAACATAACTTCTTGCACGTTGACCACCAGGTATCGGAGACTAGCTTCCTAGACAAGCTTGTATTTGAGGACAACATGCGGTTGTCTTTCCCTGTAGTGCATTTTATTAAACATTAGTGAGTTTTCTGTGAAAGTCGTTTCATGGTTTCGCCTAATTGGCTCATGTTTACGCATGGTCACCAAGGTTTATCCGCAATCGTAACCTACTCAATTGGACAGGTACATTGCTTGTGGCAGACATCTGGTTAGATTGCTTGGTTTGGTTAATCTTTGTTCATGCGCCATTTCGCGATCTTATGAGTAATTCTAAGCTACAAAGAGAATGGGCGAAAATAATGGCGTAACAAAACGAGCGACATTCCTTGTGAATTCGGGTACTGATTCCATCTGTGATCAGGCATTCAGCTGCAGCACTCGTCTAGTGCCTAACTGCCATGCCACCCGAAGGGACACGAGGGTTGCCCAAGGCTGGATAAGGTAAGTCGAGAGGCAGAGGTCGGGTTCTAACCACGGGCCTTCCTATCAGTAATTTCGCGCTCTAACCACTTGAGCCATCTCGTCCTATGATCACGTGTACCAATTATTTTTTCTTTACTTTGTTTCAGGTAGGATGGGTTTGACCACCAGCTAAGCAGACAGACACATTCATAAGCACACGTATCTATCAAAGCGCTTAGTTACTTTCCAGCTTATGCGTCTGTTGAGCGTGCCACCCGTTCAGAGTCTTCTGGAATTGAATAGAATCGTTCAGCTGTAGGTGTCATGCCAACTGAAGGGAGCAGGACGACCAAGATACTGTCAGGTTTTCCAGCATGAACAGTAGCAGTCGAGGTGCAGAGGTAAACAATCTGTGGGCAACTCATATATCCTGCTAACTACTTTAATGTTCAAACAAAACGGCCTTGATCGGTTGCATCTGGCGTGCTCACCACAGGTTCGTACTAGTATCCTTTCGCCATGGCTGTGGAGTTGCGTGAAGTACCATAATTCTTTTGTCAAAGTAAACTGCGATTCGAACAGGAGTGGGCTTAATAACTACTGGGTTTACAAAGTTTTCATTTACAATGATCCTTCTCCACGGAAGTATCTGTGGGAAATAGACTGTTTTCCTAGGGAGAAGGATTTTCTACCGTCTGTATCTCGTATAAAGTTCCCTCCGGATACATGTCGAATACCTGACTTCCCTGTAGTGAACGTTCCCAAGTAGGAAGGATTACTGGATATCCTTCTCTTGGTGTTTCCTTAGTTGCATCCTGTGCATTTTCTTGAAATCAGCAGCACGTTGGTGGTGACTAATGCCTGGTGAGATGGACAACAGCTGAGAAAAAATTCATTCAACTGTAGCACCTTTCGGCACCCTTTCGGTGCCCACCTGCCATGCCATCCGAAGGAAGCATGAGGGCTAGGATAGTGCCAGGTCTCCCAAGTCTACACAGGGTAAGTCGAGAACCAGAGGTCGGGTTCGAACCGCGGACCTTCCGGTCAGTAAATTCGCGCTCCGACCACAAAGTCGTCTCGCCCCTAACTGAAAACTGAAGGGATTAGACAGGGGAGCAGTTAGGATCTGAATTTTCAGTCTTGGTTTTCAGAGTAAGTCAGATCGCACTGGTCCATGGCAACCTACGTTTAGACCCTTATCACTGACACATGTTTGGTTGCCAGTTTGGGCGTTTTTAAGTAGAAGCTATATTCGTAAGACTTAATCTGTTCTGTAACAAATCATCATTCTGAAGGCGTACCCTCTTGTTTGCTGGTCACCTCACACGTCTAGGTTCTACCTCTGGCCCCATAACAACGGTTTCGACTACTGTTAACCCGCTACAAAACCTTCCGCTGGATGGATCCGGTGCCTCCTCGATCAGCTTTGTCAATTTGACTGGCGATGTCATACAGCTTGTGTCAGTTTCCTCCGATGCGCCTAACGGAAACGATGGGACCGGTGACGGTACAGGGCAGCCGAAGCCTGAGACGGTGATCCGGCTTGCACCGTCCACCGCGACTATACTGTCCACCGCCGAAGCGCCTCCTGCACCACGAAATCCCACACCTGTCACCCCAATGATCCGTACCTCAGTACGGTCTTGCTGTGTGTGTGAGACCTCAACAAACAACAAGCACGCCGGCATTATTACTTGCACCAAATGCGAAACCGTATTTCATCGACTGTTTGATGTGAGTCCCCAGTGTAATGTAGTACCTCGCTGTTGTACCTATTTCCAAACTCTCACTCCTCCTTTGTAATTTTATTCGAGCCCCACTGTTCCTTGTACGAAGCTTTGATTCCAACCGACACAGTTTCATTCACTGTAAAAAGGTGGAAAGATAAAATAACCACCTGTTGAACAGAGTGGCCCGATCACTTTCACTCCTCCTTTGTAATTTTATTCGAGCCCCACTGTTCCTTGTACGAAGCTTTGATTCCAACCGACACAGTTTCATTCACTGTAAAAAGGTGGAAAGATAAAATAACCACCTGTTGAACAGAGTGGCCCGATCACTTCACTGGTGTTGAGTAAAACCGAGAGATCAAACGTCTGTTGTTTGGGAGGAAAGCTATTGATCGCGTGATTGGGTCATGTCTGTTAGTACTGTCGACCAGGTTCCCATGGTTTATTTCGAAGGTAGGATTCTTTTAGTGGTCTGTGTGGGTGTTTCCAGCTTTCCCATCGACCTACACCGTTTCTACATTTGTTCCAGTAGATGTGACCTAAAAAATAATATAGTGTGCCACTATGCAATATAATCCAGTGCAGTGTAGTGTAGTATGGCACAGTATAGTTCAATAAAGTATGGAATAGTGCACTGTAGTGTAGTAAGACGCTGTGTAGTGTAGGATAACAGTGCAGTAGTGCGATATAGTATAGTGTGGCGTAACATGGTGTATTATGGTATGATACACTGTTGTGTGGTACAATGTAGTGACGTATTGCACTTACCCTTGGAGAAACTCTCCAAAAGACGTTCCTCAAAGGACAGTTTCAATTTCCAAGCCCACCTCAGGGTATTGACAGCACTCCTTTTTAGGATTGTCACGTGCGGTGCTTTTTCATTTTTGAAATTGGTCTTTGTTCAACTAGGGTTTGAGATTCAGGGGCATAAGGATTAGAAGATGGTGGACTCTACCGCGAACTTCGTGGCTAGATTTGATCGTGTACCTGTGCACTGCCATTTGGGGTAGCGAATCGAACCTTCTATAACAATAAGGCCTTAAATCAGACAATGTGCAAATTTTTCGCTTTTCAGTTGCACTAACTCGAGATTACTTCTCGCAGACATGTCGTAGAACTAGTCAAAAACAACTGAGGAGGAGCTTTTTTCAAAAACTTGCCGCAATGTTTCATGGTTTCTTCACTCGACCGCGAGCATGTGTCGTATGGTTTCGTGCTAAGGGATATTGAAAGCGACGTATAAAAGTGCTGGTAACTTTGGCAAACCAATATTGTCTTCTCAACGCCAACTGAGATACATCAAATGGTAATTTTATGGTGTCCACAGCTGATGGTCCAATTATAATGACACCTTTGGAGATTGGAGACGAACCATCACATCCACATTCTGCTTCCGCTTTAATAAGTAAACCGGTAGCTCATATCTATCTCATCAATATCATCAGGAGCTTCTGACAAAGTTAACCCGCGTTCATTGCAATAAAAGTCGAACACGCTAGCCACTTCATAAAAACCTTGCTGTTTCTCCAACCTGTCAGCAAAGTCTACTCTGCGGGTGACAGGCTGGGTGATGGTAAGCAAGCATATGCGTTGTTCATATTTGTTAACTTGCACCAGTCTAGTGTGAACTGTACTAGTCAGGCTCATTCGGAGATGCGTTTTATGAAGAACAGATTCGGCCATGCATCACTGCATCCGCAGAAGGAGCTATGTGACTCATCAACCGGAATATGGGCTGTAAGCCACTTTCAGGCTGTTAGGTGTGAATGTTGTGAAAGCAGTATCCATAGGACACTCTGTCTGACCCATCGTGTTTGGTGTACTCTTGTTCGTTCTGCTGTGACATCCTTTCAGTGCCTAGCCACCACCCTGCTCGAAGGAAGTATCAAGCCTAAGGTACTGTCAAATTATCTAAGTCTAGACAGGAACCATCGACATACCGGAGTCTGATTCGACACACGGACATTCTGTTCTCGCCTTAGCCACTGAACTGTCTCGAGCGCGTATCGTATACAAACTTTAGGGTTGCTTGCTCTATCCGCTAGTCTAGGGCTGCGGTCATTTCTACTGTCATTGTCATAGCATGGTGTATTTTTCCTAAAGGCACCTAGACTGGATGTTGGAACTTTTACAGTCCGTCCGTGATAGACAAAGTTGTGGCATTTCCCTCGGATACTGGCAACAGTTTCCGTGATCCTTTCATTCGAATTTAGCCCGAAAGGACGATGTGAGTCCTCTAGCGACAAGCCGTTTTAAATTCCTGTCTGCTTGAAATTACGACCACGCACGACTTGAAACATTGCGTTAGCCTGGCGCCACCCCCCGCCTTTTCCATTTTATTTTTTTCACAGCTGTGGATGAGTTATGACACCTGTACACCTTAGTGTCGATTCTGTTTAACATTTTTCCCAACTCCTTTCGCTCACCTGTAGAACCTAGGCGAAGTCCGGGACAAATGCGATTGTGCTAATCTGCCATCGGTCTGCTCCAACTGTCGTCTGTACAAATCGGCTACTAAAGCTCTGTCCAAGTGGGGCACGAAGTTGACTGATCGGGCCAGGCGTGAATGGTCCATAATCGATCGGTCGTTGGCTGCGCTCATCAAGACCGACTGCACGTTGGATGATATATTTCAAGGTTCGTTTGGTGTCGCATCCGTCCAGTGTTTAATCTCATTTTTGGAACGTGCTTCGTGGTCGATAGACCTAATTGGTTCCGCGTCGTGTTCCATTCAAACTCCCGTGTTCGCTTGGCCACTTGTGTTCTAGTTAGGATTTAGCAATGGACCGCCTTATGTACGCATTTCCCGCGTAGAAACAAGCCACTATGACGAGTTCACTACCTTTTATTGACAATGACTATCACCCAAGTTCAAGTAAGTCCTTTGTAGGCGCCCATTCGAGGGAACTTCAAGCAGCCAATCACTTCCTTCCTTCAGTGCTGTTGAGATAACCGGTCGTGAATATGTACCTGACAAAATACATCCTCTTCACCGTGATGGATCTTGGATGAAATATGTTTAGAAGACCGTCTTTGAGGAATTCTCCAATCCTTGTAGCATCGCGCGCTTTTTGGAAATTCTCTTGATGAAAAAAGGCCCAATCCCCATTACTTTCTAGTGTGACATCCTGAATGTACGTTAAGACTGGTGTGAGCTACTGGCTTTCCAACGGGATGATCACTGCATTAGGTGGCCAAAAGTTGAACACAAAGGCCAAGCAACATTGTTTCACGAAGGTGACCGAGATCCTCGGCAAGCACTGCAGGCTTGATTGATACCTTCGGATCAACGCAGTGCACTTTTAGCTGGCATGATATTCAAGGGAACACTGTGTCTGTTTCTTTCATAGGGGATTTCTACCAAAAATTCACGACTAATTGCTCTCCGGATCGAAATTTTATTCAGGTAGGCCTTTTTCCAGAAAAATCTGAAATAAGACGTTTACATAATGAACTTGGAAAACGGGACGAGCTGTTTTACGGTACGTCGGATGTAATTTGCTTCTCCGCTTGTTTTAGTATGGAGCGAAACATGACAAGCTTCTAACGTGAAAGGTGTGGGAATTTGATCAACCGTTTCCGATCGCGGAATTTATGGATTCCTAGGTAGCCTACCAGTAAACTGGGGAGGACACTCAACGCTCAGTAAGGAAACGTAAGTAGGTGCTCACAAGGTCTGCGCCAGATATAGCCCAACTATTTCGTCCAAACATCAAACTAGCGATCGACCATGGGGTGGGTGACACTTGTGAATTGCAAAGATGATGGGACAATTCTCGAATGTGATCAGGGAACTCACATGTGAATCAATCATTGTTCTCATTCTTGCCACTACTTCCACAATTGAGATTTTTTTCAACGAAACGAATGATGGTTCGGCTGAAGAAGGAACGCATTTGTTCTGTTTGGTTCCCAAATTAAAATTTACATATGAGTTCAGTAAATCAGTTGAAGACTCTTTGACAGCCCACTATCTGTTTCCGTCTTTTTGAGGCTCATCAAGTAGGTGTAGTCCTTCCGGTTCTGATCATCGTTGTACTATACTTGAGCACCAGACTTTACTCATCTGACGAATTACGCTCACTTGAAAATTACTTCGATGCTGACGGGTGTTTATGAAGAACCTGTTACTACGGGCTTAATTTTCAGTTCAGTGTTTCGCCACTCGGTTACTCGATCTATGAGGGCGAGATGGCCCAAGTGGTTAGAAGGTCCGTGGTTCGAACCCGACCTCTGCATCTCGGCTTGGGCAACCTGACAGTATCCCAACCCTCGTGCAACCTTCGGATGGTGTGGCAGTTAGACACCGAAAGGATACTACAGCTGAACGACGTTTTTAATCGATGTATGACCGGAGCTGTTAAACACACCTACATTTCGGCCAGACGTTCAGTTTCGTACATCTACGATCAAATTCTGATCTCTGTGCTGGAATTGCCGATAATTCAATTCGACAAAACCAGCCTCACGTACATGTATTTTAAGAAACATAGACGTTGAATTATTTAGTAGTTTTGAAAAATGCGTTCCTTATTCTTCCGACCTCCCTGTCCTTTACTTTCCATGGCTGCTATTCAGCCTCATCGTCGCTGAACTGTTACCAGTTTACTCGACTCCTAGAGAGAGCAAGCGAATAGTCAGAAACGAGTTCCAGACCAGATGGTCAGTTGGCCGCACGCTATCCTCTGAGCCGTCTTGAGCTCGTAGAAACTTTATTTAATTGTGTGACGCACCCATGCAAACCACTTTTCGCTATTTTCTCCTTTCCTTGTTGGAACAAAAACATCGTCTAGCTGTCACACCTTTTCGGTGCCTAGCTTAGGTACTGCCAGGTTGCCCAAGTCTAGATAGAAGTACTCGAATTCAGAGGTCTAGCTGTCACACCTTTTCGGTGCCTAGCTTAGGTACTGCCAGGTTGCCCAAGTCTAGATAGAAGTACTCGAGATTCAGAGGTCGTGTTTGAAACACAGACCTTTCGGTATGTAAGTTAACACTTTAACAACTGAGCTATCTCGAGCATTTTACGTGTTGACCGCTTGAGCTATCGACCGAAGGATTCGGCACTCGGACTATTTAGGCTAAACAGCAGATGACCCTTATTTGGTGAGAGGAGAGCAAGAGGATGAATTGAAGACGACAGACTTGTAACTTCCGTTCTTCTCGATCAATACATCCACCCTGTCACTGCGGTTGTCACTGACACCGAAAAACCTGCATTTAAACCGTATATCATATTACATTTATACGGCGCTTTTTTTGCCATACACGTACAGAATCGATTGGAGCAGCACCGAGCCTCTCACCCTTTTTTTCATTTTCATGTCAATCTGAACATTTTGATTTTTTCATTGATAGTTAATGAGGAGGAGTTGGGCCGGGTATACGGACCACCGATCATCACATTTCCGTTGAAATTGGGTCAGCGACGTGGCCAGTCATCTTCGGACTGCGACGGACCGTCGGCGGCGGGCACCAAACGAATCGCTGTTGACAGTCGTTTCTGGGTAAGCGTATGCCTTTGTGATTTCGAACTTTCTTACTCCTATTATTTGCGTTCCGATGATTGTATGGTCATCCTTGTCACAACTAAGTGATTTTTGGTAGTTGCCAGCATCTTCCTGAGATGGCGTGGCCGTTTATTCTGCACGATCCTGTTGAAGATTTCCCTAGGTTACATTTATGTCCGTTCGGTCATCTAGAACTTGGGGTCTTCAAACTTTCTCAGTTGCTATCCGGTCTCCCATTTCGGCATAACCTTGTTGGCCGGATGAAAGTATATCCATTTGCAATGGTCTCTTGTGACTGACGGCATCGTATTTCCTCCATGAGCTGAAGTTAAAAACCATCAGCAGTGCTCCCCTCAGGATGAAAAACATGCCCTCAAAAGTTGCGTACATATCAAATATTGCTGTGATCGTAATTGCGTCAAGTAAATCTCTTCAAGTGCACTAGTCCAGTTTGAGGACCTGGCCTTTTAACCAGAGTATAGAGTACGCGTGTTGTGGTACACTAACAACTTTCGTCTTAATGTTTGTAGGCTGGAGTCAATGCACTGCAGATTGCCTCAACACCCCTAGCTAATCGTACCACACCGGCTTCTGCCGCCCAAGTCTCTACAAATGGCGTCACTCGGCGTGTTCGAGCGCGGCGAGCTGCTGCTGCAGCGGCCACCAGTCCGCTTTCTAGCGATGACTCTCAAGGAACAATCCCATTAGTAGATGTTGATGCGGCACCTACCAATACCCCACAAAAAGCCTCCTCACCCATGGACCATTCTCCTGAAATTGACTCGTCCGGTCCAAAGTGTGTCACCCTGTCCAACTTCCCGACCAACTTGCCTCCAATCGTGTTCAGGTCGCCAGCACCGCAGCTGCAGGCCACACCTCAGCCGCCAACGATGTGGCCCATTGTGGTGAGTCGCATTCTTTCGTAGCCTATAATAAGAACAATCTCATGGTCATCGTTAGTTTAGTCCTTTGTATAAAAAACACACTGTATGACTCGTAGTTAGTTTTAAGTTGTGAGACTTTGAAGAAATTTCTCTGTAGAAACAGTCATAAGAATGTGTGTACTGGATCAAGCTGCTTGCTGACCATGGAACTGGCACCATTCCACCTCTCATCAAAAAACAGTTTGCTGTTTTCTGTTCAGTCGTTATTTTTCATTAATTTAGAATGTTTTTTTTACTGACGGAAGTAAAGTAAAGGGTTTTTTCTCTCGCAACTGATGTTTTATTGCTGTATTCGTAGGCGTTTTACTTGGGCCTGGGATCCATTCATGTCCTGCTAGTTGACTTCCTCAATTTGGTCAAATCAAGTGATCCTGATCACTGCCCCGCTTGAACTAGCCTTACTTATTAAACGATACATTTCGGGGTATCCGGTAGTTGATAGTTACACCTCCTTTGTCGAAAAGCGATAGTTATTCATACTTTGATAAAGACAACAGACCGTACTTTTCCCGTTCATTTCTTCAGTAGGCACAAACTGTATGTAGAAACGGTGCAAACTATGTAAAAACTATGTTTAAAGTGTTCTGTGATTTGCGTTGTTGTTTTATTTTCGTGGGATGCAGCGAGCTGTTGTGAGCAAAGTGAGCTTAGTGGCCGGTTTTGTATTGTGTAAACCGTCTAACTGCAAACAGTGAGGGTACAACGAGGCTTCCTTACGGCTTCGCTCACCTTCATAAACTTCCATTGGTATGTGCGCGGGAATTCGCCAATCTCTCCGTTTGCACACGTATTACGCTTATGAAACATATTCGCACCTCATTTTTCGGTTCTTACTTAGTGACACTTGATCGAAGCGAAGACCGAGATCATGCGGCAAAACGGTGGACCAGTCATCGTCCTCAACATCATCATCATCGACGCATGATATCAAACCCTAACCTACTCCATCGGATGCATCATCGACAGCATGATATCAGTGTTCGACACCGATGCTTCGCTGCCATACAACGTTGGTCTAGGTGAACTTTTTAGTTATCGTCACGAGTGCTTTTGGAGTGACAGAGGAAAGCTGCTTCCTAAAGTATTCATAAAGAGACATTGTGATGATATACTATGAAGGAACTGTTTGCAGAAGTCCGCTGGTCACGAACAGCTAGTGTGCTGTTGGTAAAATTGGTCGTGATACGGCAGCTTCCCCCCAAGGCCAGGAGTCAAGCATGCGCGCAACCTAGCACACACCGGCGCATGATCTTGATTTTCACACAATCACACCACGCGTTGTGGTATATTGGTCAGTGTTTGGTGATGTCTTTTTGTCTCTTGATAGGGGCCACCGTCGGTGGTCGAAACGTCGGACAGTTTCATCTAATATATACCTGCTGTGTGGTCACTAGCATTTTCACCGTGAACCTGCGGTCCATAGTGCCTAAACTCTTGCAACCGTTTCGAGCTTAGAGGGGCACCACGATACTGTAATTGCTTCACTTGGTTACCCGTCACCAATAGGTGAACGGAACTCACCCTGTCTAACGAAGGTGCGTGAAGTGCGTCGACCAATTTCCAGTGGACACTCCTATGCCGGCCAATCATTGTTAATAGTTTTACTGTACTTCAGGTTGGTAAACTTTGCGCCCAGAAGTTAGGTTTTGGTTTGAGGTTGCTTTTGGTGTGTATGTTGTGCAGCAATTTGGAAACGTCTTGTTTCGCCGTACTGAGTGGTCAAGTCGCATTTGTGCAGATATGTCAAGACTCCCTTTATTTTTGCTGACCTTTTGGGATCACAGACGCTGTAGTCTTATAGGTGTTGATTTTCTCAGTGCATGGTTTTTTGTGTGGAATTTGTCAGAGGATGGGGCACTTTTCCAGACTTTGTCTTTTTACTGAGTGTTTGTTGGCTTTTGGTTTACACATAGATTCCGGCTGCTCAAGTGGTTCCCATTGCCACACCGCTTGTTGCCAGTACGTCTGCTCCGATATCTGTTGCGCCTAGCACGTCACAAATACACAGCGAACCTGTACAGGTGATCACAAAGTTGGATAACGCGCTGGCGCCGCCGCCGCCACCACCACCCAAAACTCAGAACAAGGCAACTGTGCAACCACCGCTGACCCTGTCACCTACTGCGGCTATATCATCAGCTCTGACACACGATGACATTCTTGCTCGTCGTCTGTCACGCCTAATCCGAGCGAGTTTCTCGCAGGTCTACACAAAGCACTGTGGTGAGCCGAAAAAAGCGGAACCGTTGATCGCAGATATTGCAATGGACAACCACGCCACTCTCATTCATTTGTTTGATTTTTACGACTGGGAAGTGAGTTGTTCAGCTCTTTTTGAATATATGAATATACACTGCACTTCAATCTAAAAAATGTCGCACGAATGCATCTCATTTGAACCCAGAGCTGATCTTGACCGATCATCCTTGCTCATCCCTAGTACGGGTAAGCCTCCTGACAGCCTGTGTTTCCCTCAGATATGTCTTATTTCTGCCCCGTTGAGCTGCAACAGCAGCCACCATGTTGAAGGGTAATCTTTTGGAAAGATCATAGTCCACTCTTGACCATTTCTTCAGCAGAGACCTCCTGGTACAATGAACCATTACTGATCATCCACCTCGGGCAATCCACAAAAGTGGAGAGCCACGTCCATGCAATCGCATCGTTTCCTGTCTCCTCATGACAGATGACTAATAAGTAACTCGCAGTGAGATCGAACTTAGTTTATTCAGTTTATTTCACCCTTTCAAACTTTCAACGACGGTCATACTCGCTATCCGAGGCAACTTGACCGAGCCTAACCATCAACCGTGTTTTTTCTTCAACTGGGCTTCTGTCCATCATCTCAGCAACACGTTTTGGGCTGACATTCGCTCCGTACTGTGACTTGCCCCTGCCTTTGCTAAGTAATCCAATATACTCATCACGCAAGACATCCTCAAGTGAATAACCCAGTAGGCAGAGTTCTCCTATCTTTGAATGTCCCATGCTGTGCATTCAGGTGCCGTCCAGAGGTTTTTCATTTATTCCCTATGTTAAAGTTTGGCGTGCGGAAGCACGTCTTTTGTTATCTTGTGTAACTATGTGGAAAGCTCCTACGGGTGATGTTTAGTCTGTTCGTACAAAACTATCCAAATGTCAACCGCGTTAGTACACCACATTCCAGTGTTTTTTCTGTTTTGAGTGCATCTCACGATTAATGAAAACCAAGAACTGGTGCTTTTTCTGCCAAGATTCCCCTCTTTTTGTGTGAAAATTCTCGTTTTCCTAGTCACGGATGTGCGCTCTCGTTCTTTTCGGCCGAAGCCTGTCGGGCAAATTGTTGTTCGCATAGCACCTAATTCGCAACTTATTCAGCCCATTCTGGTCATATGCCGCCCAGAAATAAAAATTTTGCGCGCCAATATGATTCACAAAGTTCTAGCTAGGTGGGCATAGTACGTCCTTTTTATTACGAATTCGAGGAAAAAAACAATCCGTGCATTGTCTTGAACTGCACAACCATATGGTCATACTAGGAAGGTAATCGGCACAGTAAAGGCCTTTGAATCTTGTGGGCAGCGTACCGTTTCGCTGGTTAAGGACTCCTCTGTAGTCAGAGGATTTGGGTCTGCTAAAGCGACTTTCTCCAAGAGGCCTTGTTTTTAAGGGGTTGTGTAAAATAGGAATAAGCCTTTGAATTGCGTGCGGGAAGTTACTTAAGTAAATAAGCTGGCACTGAAATTTAGGTTTATAGCCACTCCGGTGATGAATGGAGAAGCGACCAAATAAACGATGCACTACCAGGTCGCACTTGATGTGTATCAATCAGTGCAGTTTGATTGGCTTGAATTAGGCCCCTGTCTAGGATAGCCACTCCGGTGATGAATGGAGAAGCGACCAAATAAACGATGCACTACCAGGTCGCACTTGATGTGTATCAATCAGTGCAGTTTGATTGGCTTGAATTAGGCCCCCTGTCTAGGCTTGGGCAACCTGGCAGTATCCCAGTCCTCGTGCTTCTTTCGGGCGGTATGGCAGCTGGGCACCGAAAGGGTGCTACAGCTGAACGATTTTTTAGACAATTGCTAATTCGGGTTTGTTTTGCCTTGTTTAGTTCACTGTCAGGTATCTGGCAATTCCGTCCCACAAATTCCTCCGAACAATTCAATACTGCATGTTTCTCTCATTTAGTTTGGGCTTTTTCGTCCGTTCACCCTTCTCATGGGTGGAATGCGCATAGCTATGCCCAAGACAGAATCGCTCATCATTGAGTTAGGCCTAATCTACACGGCACTATGACGCTAGGAGTTTCTTTGGTGCATGACCTACATGGTAACAATATGACCAACATGTCGCCACCTTTGAATTTCGACTTTCAGACACAATTATCTCGGAAATCATATCATGCATCTGTAAGAAACTTTCGTGCGTTTTTCAGCTGTTTCAACACCACTGTTATGACCATCATGTGGTTAGCCGTTCTTGTGAAGAATATACCCTGGGCTGAAGAGAATGCGTTTAAAGTCAATAAGCGACTGCACTGACATGACCGCTGCACTCAAAGAACTCGTAATAGACATTGGCGTAAAGGGAGATGCGGACAAGCAGACAGCGACCGTTCATTCGAAGACATGTCTCACCTTGGAAGACAGACGAATCCCTCCGTGTTCTGATACTGTTGGATGACCGTCTCTGGTCTTAATATCCGGTTATGGGAATAAATAATGTGCAATCTCGTGGGATTCTTAATGGCCTTTCTAGATATAGTAGTCCCTATAGTCCCATTCGGGTTTCCGTTTGCAGACTTTAGTATGGTGTACTTTTAGCAGCCTCTAACACGTTCTTTTTCGCACCTTGAATTGACCTTAATCGTTTTGGCTCAGTGCTTGAGGCCACTCTTTAACGGGTGTTTGGTGTTTCATAGAATGAAAGTGCACGCTTTTTACTCGCACGTGCCCAGACGAACATGTAGCTCGTGAAAAATTCACTTGATCTGCTGACAAATTTTTCGAATTCCAAATGCCAATGAATGTCTTCGTGCCGTGTACTAACATTTGTAGTGGAATCAGCCGATCGAGATCTCCGAGGTGGTCCGGCAGGCTTGTTGGTCTGCTTTTCACGAACAGTTCAATGAAAGTCTCACGGATATGGTTCGCTTCATCAAACGCATTCCGGGTTTCCCCATACTCAAACCGCAGGATCGGATATTGCTGGTGAGGCAGAGTGGCTTTGAGGTAGGTGGTTCGTTGCTTGAAACGTCTTTTTGCTACTCTATGGATTCTACTGACTATCACCCGCAGACATCGATAGACAGAATGTAATTGGCTGTTGATCGGCTGGCATTTGATTTATTCGCCTAGCTTGGAAACTGGCTCTTAAACGTCCCATCATCACGCAAGGAGATATTGTCACTGCGCCTAATGACGTCCGGTTGCGCTGGGTAAACGTTCAGGCATTTTAGTTTCAGCGTTCTCTTGGTATGCAGTTACCGGGGTTCCGGGAGGTGAGTTCACCAAACCCTGGATGGCAGCGACAAATTTCGAACTGCGATCTTTTTATTTCACTCTACTGTGCTCGTCATTTTCTGAGGCTGTTTTGTGAAAACGAGAGGAGTCGAGGATGGTCCTGTGACATCTTGTTTGACACAGGATTTTTTAAAGTCACATGTTGTTCCCCAACAGCTTACTTTTCGGCGGCCGATTGTTTCTTCGCAAGGTCATAGCTTAGGTGGAAGCAGTAGAGGCTTTTAACTTTTGGTGGATGCATCTACCGGTAGCATGTTTGTCGTGAAATAGTTCATAAGTGCTTGTCAGTATGTTCTTACGACTACAGCGGAAACTAGAGCTTGCCAGCTTAGGGTTTTTCGGATGTGCTACGCAGGGTCAACAGCTGTCTAGCAAAAAACTTCACTATCCACTGTTAGTCGTTTTTGACAACCTGATGGCGTAAGTTGAATGTGGCGATCCCTAAACTGAACATACCCTTCTGACTGAAGTATAAGCGGTTCCCTTTGCGCCTGTTTAGAAACTATACATGGTGTGATACAGGGTCGAGCACGCCATAACTTTCAAGCCCGACTGCCTAGCTGGAGTCTCTGGTGTTGTCTGCTGGGCTCGCGTATGTTAGTGTTACCAAAAGCTACCCGGCCCATCTCTGTTTACTTTGACACGATATCCCGATGTGTCTGTCTACTTCAATGTTTTTTGAAAGTTTAAGTACCTGTAGACCATTTGTCAGTTTTCTGTGGGGATCTGTGGTTTCTTGAAGCAACTCTCCCATTTTCTTTCTCTACACCTCACTAAAAGCCATTTGCTTCCTTGATTTTGAAGCATTATTTACTGTTGGTTTATCGAGCTCACTAGTTAAGTCGAGAAGGTCCGTGGTTCAACCTCAACCTCTTCTCCTGTGTAGGTTTGGGCAACCTGACAGTATCTCAGCCCTAGTGAATCTTTCGAGTGGAATGGCAGAAATGCTGCTGCAGCCGAACTTTTTATTGTTGGTAGTGTGAGGAGATTTGGAATTTTTGTGGAGACTTCGTCCTGTAAGTGAAGTCAACCTATGCTGAAAAGCCGAGAAGCTCTGTACAGCTGTTTCATCCTTATTGGGAACCATCAGCAGTGCGCATCTTACGAAACTCCGGAGAGTCTCGAACCCGCGACCTTCTGGCTAGTAGTTTGAACACTTAACCGTTCGGCCACGAGTGGCTGATCAGCAGTGTGATTAACTCGCACTTAGAGAGGATATAGCGCCGTTCATCCTTCAATCACGCGGTCACACGTGTTAACTGGCTCCTCGAGCGAGTTAATCACACTGCTGATCAGCCGCTCGTGGCCGAATGGTTAAGTGTTCAAGCTACTACCCAGGAGGTCGCGGGCTCCAGACTCTCCGGAGTTTCGTGAGATGCGCACTGCTGATGATTCCCGAAAGGATGAAACAGCTGTACAGTGCTTCTCGGCTTTTCAGCAATGATTGGCTTCACTTACAGGACGAAATCTCCACAAAAAAGAACTTTTTATTGTTTTCCGTGGCGATACTTATCTCTTCATACTATTTTGGTTCCTATTCACCTTTATTCCGTTGTACCCCTCATACTTCCTGTTAGCTCGCTTTCGTCGTCCATTATTTGAACTGGAACACCAATCACGGTACATGGCACGGACTGAACAACTTTGTGCTAACCCTAGATCAGTTGGTGACAATATTTCCGTCCGGAAACGCATTCTTCAACCACGCTTTTTCCAACGCTGAACGTTTGTCCGTGCTCCAACAACAGCTGCAACACTTGGGACTCATGGCTGCATTGATTGTTCTGAATGCGGGTAAATAGTTATGGCATGAGTCTTTACACCTCGGTTTTTTGTTTCGCTCATGTTGTCAATCATTAGTGTCGCGGCACTGATCCGTGCAAAAATTGGTCGCAACACCGAACTTAGTGGGCCAAAGATCTTCATGTCCTATTTCACTACTTGGTTTGTGATTTAGTCCGTCATTATAGTGAAAATCCATCCAATACCGCTTTCCCTCACCAAACAGCATAATGAGCTCATGCCTCGATATTAACGTTGACCCTCCTTTTCCTTCACGTTCGTAATGCCCCGACGGGTGATGGAGTTGAATGCATGTCACTTTTGAACCGCAGCCGAATGTATGTGGTATTTTCGCGACTGTTGGGTTTCCCTCTTTAACTACTGGATTTCGGCTAACACGCCTCTGTATGAACTGTTGGAATTACCATCATACCTCTTCGAGTGACCTACAGCTGAGCAGCCAGTTTGTTATCTGTGCAGATCCTACGGTCTCTGTAGGCCCTTAGACACCTTACAAGTTGGCTCAATCAACTCAATCAACAATTTCGTGGAAATAATGTGCTGGTCAGACTCCCAATTAGACTGAACCATTCTGACTTTCACTCCATATAGCATCGAGCAACTGGAAGTTGCCCCTCGGCCCCTCTTCCTCCGCAAACCGCAGTGCAGTGTGTGCAGTGTTAAAGGATGTTTGTAGCCATGAGGTTGTATTATGGGTTCTCGAAGTAGCAAAATACTGCCAACGTATTACTTTTAAAATGGCAACTGCTCTGCAGTTGGTTTTTAAACTTCGTGTTCGAGCTTGCCCGTAAAGGGATATCGCTTGAGGTAGGACAGATAATAGTTCCCCTTAGAACTTCAGTCTCAGAGAACCAATGAAAATCTGTCGACTCTCCGAAAAAATGGAACAGCCAAACACATGAAGGTTTGGGCACAGGAGAGCAGCTGACTTCACATTAGTGTAATAACTCAGTACGCATTTCATAAGAGAGTAAAACCTCACCGGTTTTTTAACTCGAGACAGCTCACTGATTAAGACGAGAACTTACTGAACACAGCAACTCTACGCTAGGGCAACCTCGCCCTCGTGCCTCCGTCGAATGGTGTAATAGTTAGGCACCTAAAGGACGTTGCAACTAGACGCTTATTATTCCTTGCCAGTTGTTAGTCGAAAAAAATGTTTCATACTTTTAGAGACAAAATATATTCAAGAATTTCTGGCAGCTCAAATTGGAGCGCGTATGAAATTTCCGAGCACTCCGACACACTTTACTTGTATACTTCTGGTTGTGGCTTGATGAACGATGCTCAGTCGATAGTTTTTGGTTTGTTTTTCATGGATTTCACGGTTCGTTGCTGGCTACCACGTTAGCACTGAGTGCTCTAGCACCCTTTGGAATAGGCTACGAACGTTCTCAAAACGATCCAACCTCATTCTTTGTTCGATTCGTGCGTCATTCGTTTGAAGTGATAGATGTAAACATGCTTTGGCCTTTTTCGGTTTGCATTTTCTCGAAAGTGTCCTCACTAGGGGTCACCCGCCTACAAGGCCAAGCATTCTGAGTCGTTCAAGTTATCTCAATCCGGTTTGCTGGGAGTTATTTTTTGTTTTGCAGCTGTGTTAGAGTCCCTCTCCTTGCAGTTTACTGCGAACCCATATTCCCACTTTGTCTGAATCTGTTCCTCTCCAGTTTTTTTATTTGTTTATTTTTGTGTCAATTGCAGATATCCCATCCCTTTCGGATAGGAAGACTGTCGATGACTTGCGCCAGCGAATGCTGAATGCCATGAAATTTGGGCTGGAAGCGCGACAGCGGGATACAGAAATGGTTATGAAGGATGTGGAAGAGGCACTCCTTAGTCTACGAACCTTGGGTAATGCGCATCGAACTATGTTGGAACGTCTTAGGGAAGAAGATCATCTTGAATTCCCTGATGACCTTTATGCCGAGCTATTCGAGCTGATTTCGGACTAGGTGTACGGTGTGGAATCCGTTAAGCTATTTTCCCCATTTGCAGCATTCATTTATACATAGATATTTTATCCATCATCCCCATCTCGTGTCATGTGTATCTGGCATCTCTCCGTATTCTTGTTTAATCCCAGTTCAACAATAGCTTCATGTGTATATAGACTCTGTTCCAAGTGATGCTTCGGTTTCTTGTTCTCACGCTGCCGTCAGCGATTTGGACTCGGAACCTGTTACGTAAACTGGAACCGACACGGGTTCTCACATCTTCACATCCAGGCGATAGGCTGTCTGATGGCCCGTAAACCACTTTTAGGAGTTGGAGAGCTCCAGGTAGGATCGAAGATGGGTCAACTCCATCTACCTTGCATTACGGAGTTCATAACTTGGAAGGATTGCCGTAGTTTCACTTTGCCGCTTTAACAGATGAGCACCTGATCACACAGAACGGCATGCTAATGCTTTCAACTCCTCGTGATTATTTGTATGAGCAATGGGCGTTGAGCTTTGCTCACACCGTTGTTTCTGGCATTTACATCGAAGGCGAAAATAGTTCTGTAACGTTTACATCCCGAACCCACAGTACCAGTGATTTCCCTTGGAAATCCTAAAACTGCAGGGTAAACATGAATCTGTATCAACAGGAGTTGGTGTAGGGTGAACAGAGGAAGCTTATCTCCCTAGGGATTGCGTAATTAGATTTTGGGGCTCGAAACCGAACCGGACTCGAGCAAGACTACAAAAACTATGTTCTATTCACAGTAGGGTTATACACGACTATAAGGAGAACGAAACAACCATTTATTGGATTTGCGTTCAGGATTTCAGGGTGAATCAATTTTGCAGTGCAAGACCTCGCGTACATCTTCCCTTTGGATAAGCTGTTGATAGAGGTGCTCCACCAGTTCCGTTGGTGTGCAGTCCTTCACTGAAACATCTTTAGTTACACCAGACTTTATTTCATTGTCTTTGACTGTCTTTGTTCTTATCGATACTCAGCAACGACTAGTGTTTGCATCCGTAATCATAGCTTACCCAGGGCACAACCCTGATCTTTTAGAATGGGTTTGAGAGTCCTGTCACTGCAACCGACGTACTGTGGTGGGATAGGCTGAAAAATCTTGGAATCGCGTGTCTCGGCTTGTTTTGGTTGAATGAATCCAGCTTCCTCGTGTGATACGGCGTAATTGGATTGAGCTTCGGGTCACGTATAGCTTTCGTTTCCTTGCACAGTCGTGTAAGCGTCAGTGTTATTTTGTGGGAGTAAAGTGTTCCTGTCGTGAATACCGATGGACTTCTTTGGCACAGGGGATTCGTGCTACAAAAAATCAAACGTATTCGCTCGTTCAGGGGTGTTCTTTAGGTTTTTTTATGAAGGCCAGGTATTCAAGGACGATAAATAAGAGATTAAAGGCCCTTAATTCTTCGAATCAACCGCCAGTCTCAGTGAACAAACCCGAGCTACCTGAATTCCAAAACATCGCCAACAGTTGTCTCCATTTCTCTTCAGATTTTAGCGGCAAAGTTGTATCAAGATTCACTGGATCCGCAAAATAACTATTGATGTGGGGTTATTATACACTAGCCGTCGCATTCGCTTGTTTCATCACTACATGCGTTGAATCTAACTTGACCTTATGATAATTCCCCCATTCATTTGCTTACTTCACCTATGCACTTTTGATCTCCAGTTAAATTGCTTATTCGTACCCGCCACTCACCTTGCCGCAGAGGTTGTCCTTTCCGACACTTGGGTATTGACATGTGTGTCTGTGTGTGCATTTGCCCTGCTGACCAATTACCCATGTGCGTTCGTGTCCGGTTTGCTGAGCCTGCCTTGACTTGTTTTCTCATCCGTGTTATCGCACGTCCAATGGGAATCACGAAACCGTCGTCGAAAGAAACGACAGCAACCCACGCTACTGAGCGGTCATTCCGCTCGCCATGGTTTAGTGTGCGGACGTTGACACTGCACTGTGCCGGTCAGTGACAGACCTGTGAACTTGTTGACGCTACGAACGTGAAGAGTTGAGGTTTGTTGTACACATTTGCTTACCCTTGTGTAAATAGTACCGTAGAATTACAAACCCATTTCTTCCTTTTGATATTCGGGATTGTCGAACCTACGCGTCACTCAAAGCTCCGTACCGGGAACCTCAACAACATGGAGGGTCCTCAATTAAAACAATCTGCCTATCGTCCCACTAACTTTTTCCAAGAATAGGCGAAAAATCCACTAACGGTAGTACCGCAGATTATTTCTCCGTCTGACCCTGGTCCTGGCTTCCCAAACTTTGGCTCGACCACCGACAGTGAGAACTCACCTGAGACATCCAACCCATTGGTAGTCGAAGTACTAGATACCTCTCCTTTGAGCGCACACATTGCGTTCAGTGGATGATGATTCCGCTGAAAAATGGACTCATCGGGACCAGTGTAGTTTGACCATGTCTTGGAGACGCTATTTCACCGGATACATAGATGGGAGTCATTTTGTCCATGATTTATAATGGAATACACTATCAGTAAGCAGGGTTGCTAGCATAGAACCGCCTATATTTTGCCGTGCCTGGCAACCCTCCACTTCCAAATGCAGAAGGCTATCGCTACATTCCCAATGAGTAAATGTGTATTGTTGTTCCAGATAACCATTCGAACATCTCAGTAAATTACGCCATCAGTCTTGACAAAGATGAGTGACCTTTAAGCCCATAGTTTTAATGGGTTGAATTAAAATAACGTGCTAATGGATAGCAGTGCAACTCAGCGACCGTTTAGGCTCTCCCCACTTACCTGGGAGGGTTTTAGATATCAAGACACTTCCGGCTTTCCAAGTAAACGTTCATTCGTAGTAAAAATTGCCTCAATGAATGGTGTAGGTACTATTAGGACACAACAAATTTGATTAGTGCTGCTTTTCTTGGAAACATGTTTGTGATTCAATAAGCCATTTCGTTTCCTCATACGCTAATTCGACTCACGACAAACTAGGTAATCCCAAATATCAGAAGAAAGAATTATGTTTCAAAATGTGTTATTATTTACAGAATAGTGAGCATATGCTTTCAGTGAATATACTAATCTGCTTTTGGCGGGAAACTTCTACACTATTATTCCACAGAAGGTGGTGAACGAACCCACCCAATGTTCTGCTTGGTACGGTATTCGAGATATTGGAGTGTCTTCTTGGTACAGCGCATTAATCGTGAGGTAGCTAAAAACTCTTCGACAAACAACTATTAATTTTACTTGCAAATTAAACATTGACCAGATGCAAATATAAATGGAATTATGCCGACACTGATTGAGGTCACCTTAATGATGTTATTTAACACGTCAAATATTTGTTATTGCGGACCGGGGGCCCATTGGCCGCACAGTGCTCTAATTGGTGCATAGGTGGCGATAGCCATAATACAAATCAGGTGTGTGCACTAATAAAAGTCTAAGCATGATTGACAGTGGAGGGTTGCAACGCGTATAAAATAAATACAATGCGAAATGGGAGCAAGTCAAAAAAGGAACTTATCGTATGTGGAAGTCCCTCGGTGAAAGTCCGGACAGCGAGAACCTGTTTTCTCCCCAGTTTGGCTGCTACACGTATTCAATTATTGTCCGTGGACTTGGGCTGTTTGGCTAACTCCTTACTCCCTGCGCGCGCGCGAGTCTGCGTGTCCTGGCTGTGTTCGATTTCCCTATATATAGGTCCGTTTGCGCTCACTAGACGGTACAGACAATCGATGTCCGATGAGTCACCTTAGTGTGACGTGGTTTTGTGAGCATGAACAAGAGACAAACCTCGCGATCCAGTGAGCGAATGTGAGCTGAACAGTCAAGTATGTGGATGACTGGGTTGCTACACTCTCAACTGCAAAACCTTTACATGTGCAATAGAATATCCTTGCGGCAGAATGTTGTATTTCGTTGTGTGTGTAATCAAACCAAAAACCCTCCTAATCTATGTTCGTATTTCCGTAGGTCAACAACTTACATTGTCCATTGTAGCAGCAATACCTTTTGCGAAAAAAAGTCTGGTGGAATAATTTCCCAGCTTGCTGTGACCCCAAGATGCCTAAATGGGACTCAAAAGTTTGAAATGGTATATGATTTAAGTTGCCTGTTTGTTTTGTTCCGTCGGGAACGCGTCGTAGCCTTCGAAAATTCAATTCCATTGTGCGAATACTGAGCACCCCTGTGGATCATGATATTATTAGACTATCTGAAGGTCCCGCGTCGCCCTACTCCAAAAGTGCGGAAAAGGATGCATACATTCAGACGCAGTGGGAGTCCTTTAGTCCGTGTTGAGACCAACAGTTCAATATAAAAGGAAGCATTTTTTAATGATAGAGGCGCAAATGAAATGGAGCTCCGCTTACATTACTGTGTAGGTATAGGGGATCCACAACGTTGCCATCCAGCGTGGTTTTTGGACGACCGGTAAATTGTACACCTAGAAAAACGCAGTATTTCCTACTTGGTTCCTTCAACCTATAGTCTCTTACATTCGATAGTTGGGTGAAAAGTCATTCCACTCCCCTAACTCACCTAACTTCCCACCCTCTACACTACTTCTTTCATTTAGGGCACTCAGAGTGCGTGCCATACCAGAACAGTCAACAATACCTTTAAATAAGCCCGTTTCTTTGCTTCAGTTTATGACAGCTTACATAGCCCATATGGAGTCATAATCAAATGATAAACATACTGCGCAGAGGGAATTATGTAGGCGAATCCAGAAATAACCTGTAGTCGACTCTGAAGGGCCATATTCTACATCCGTAAAGTGGCAGGCTTCAACCTGGTGTACTATAGTCATGTCCTCTTACTACCAGACCAGTGTCACTTCTCTCCCACAGATGTTGCAATCCCATGTGAGCCATTCTGTGATTGGCTGTTTGATTACGTACTTCGGGGGCAAGGAGTCAGTCAGCAGTTGCGCCGAGAAAAAGTACGTGAAACAACAAACCACCATAAGTCGGGTTTTTCCTTGCTTCATACAGATGGTAGTGCTGACTGGTCTTGCGTATTCAGATCGCTTACTGATGTTACAAAACGTTACCCAAAATGCACCCACCATCGCCAGCCTTCTCGGGGCATACTGCGAGGCTCGTGGGTGAATTCCGCCGAGATCGGATCTTTGGGATCTGAAGGTGGCGGGAGAAAAACAAAGCGACGGAGAGCAAAACAAGGGACTCACTGTCTGGAACATGACAAGAAAATTGCAAACGGTCAAAAATGGGGGATCAGAACTCCGGATCTGATGGAGCAGCAGAGTGACGTTATCCATCCGGTCAATTTGAACTAAAACCTAAAACCACAGCTGAGGCTTCGTGGACTTGGACTGTTGGGATCATGGCCAGGGTTACAAAAAGCGTTGGCGGCATTCACGAATTGGAGGGATTAGCAAAGGAACAAGTGGGCGAGAGGATACAGCCGAGAGTAGGAAGGGAACTGTGGTGATTGTGGTGAGCATGGCAGTGCCGTGCCTCCATTGTCCCGACATATTTCGATTTTTGGGTATGCCCGTAACGAACGCCACTTTTAAGGTCACTGGGCTATGATGTGCGATTCTCTGAGCAGCCGGATTTTTTTCAGGCTGGCCAAGGAAATAAAGGTAGAACGAGGCCAACGTAAGATCGTAGGTTTTTGCTGCGTTCGTGGATCCCTCTAGATTACAGGTTAGGTGGAGTGGATAACAGCTAAGCGGGTTGTTCATTCCTGACATTGCTTGAGAATATGAAATAATAGGACAAGATTGTTAAAGTAAGAATAGATGCGTGAAAAATGGGCGGGCAAAATCACAACGGGGATGGCCTTGCTGAGTCGTTTTTTCGGTAGCTGAAAATAACTGCAAAGTGCAGAAACTAAGGAACCAGTACAAAGTTTTGGTGAGACAGCAGCGTTGCAGTGATTTACGCAGCCGATTTGAACTGAAAATTAAAAACGTCGCTGAGGCGACGAGACTTGCAGACACAATTAAACTTTCTCTCAAATCGTAGTTGGATGAAAGGAATGTTTAATACAAAGGTTTAGAATTTATACATGCGATCGCAGTTTTATTAGTCGTTCGAACGTATCTGATTTCTACTAAGGGCGCCGAATAAGTATTTTATTGGCTTCGCCCATGGTCTCGTGAAAAGCTGTGAAAAAATTTGGGGAACGCTGTTTTTCACGTGCTTTCTTTACTGAATCAAGGAATAATCCCAAGAATATATGAACAATAATTACTCCATCTATGGGGGCGCTAGCTTAAAATGGAGCAGACATTCGCGACTAGCATGGAAAAAATCACTTGTTGCGGCAGGAGTACAACCAAGCACTGGCAGAAAATTCTCCGGAGCTGTCAAGTTTTCTTGGTTTTCATTGATAAGCAGCGCATGCTGCGTAGGCGTTAAGCAAGCGTTCGTCACAAGTGTCATACCGAAAACCTGATATTGCCGTTAGATGAATCATTGGGTTTATGGTCAGAACTAGCAGATAATCCAAAGAGATTACCAGTGCCTTCAAGTACAGGCACAAGTAAAAAGGAACGAGACGGTCTGGTGGGTAGAATACGGATATGGTGAGCTACAGGCAGGCCATGGGACTGGGTGTGGCGGTCTCAAAATCCTAGTGTTTCAAAGCGATTTGCCTCCTCATGTCGCGTGCAGTTACTGAGTCTATGTAAACATTTTTTGTTATTGCACCGATGAGTTTTTCCATCCATGGAAGAAGTGCCTGGAGTATTCGCTACACCGGGGTAAACTCAGGTCGGAAGCCCAGGTGTTTGACAGAGGTTGTGTCCATTTTAGTTTCCTCCTTCCCGCGCTGTAGAAGGCGGCATATGAGGTTCAACATACTGCCGAAATATCTGCTGAGAAATAACATGCAGTTGAAGTGAGAGTTGTCAACCGTGCATTCTTTTTTCACCGTCGTGAACAGAAAGCGCCGGAGGGACGGACATGTTCCGAAGAGCTCTTCAAAAGCCTTCGCACACAAGTGGCCTCCATTAAGGGTGCCTACGCTCTCCACTCCTGCTCAACTTTGTGATCGATGTGTTAATGAGAAGCACGTTGAATTGTCTTTTGAACCAAGGTGTTCACATATTTTTCGACGGAAACCTTAGCGATATGGGATATGCAGACATTGTTCTTATCGTTGAAGACGAGGAGAAGGCGTGAAAGATATCCCTCATTTTGGTAGGAACTTCGCACCCACAAATGTAATGTTATGCTCCCGGACGTGCAGTCACAGAACACGCTACTTACAGCCGAAAGGAGGCACACGAATATGTGGGACGTTTTGTGTACATTAGAAGTTGCATTAGTTCTGACTAGTGTGACAGAATAATAATAATAATAATAATAATAATAATAATAATGACAAGTGCACACACAAACGGAAACTCAACCCTCACAAACCTAGTTCTGTTCATTTCCATTTTGTAGAGCGGTAAATATTACCACTAATAATAATAAGTCCATCCCAGGGTGTGGTTGGCATACCACCAGACACGATCATGGCCACACATCCAGAATGAAGGCATGGCTGATAGAAGTTGTGGGCTTTCAGGATTGCCTGAATGTGAGACAGACGCAGGTAATAGGCACTATACGACAAAGAGGAGGTTATGTCCAGAATGACACGGTCTAAATACGACGGACATTGGCGCAATAAAACTACATTTTTAAAAAATTTTAATCTGTTGTAGTGCCACACTGAAGAAGGACCAGACCGGTGCAGTTTGAAGATGATGGGCAATGTCACAACCCGAGACGTAAGAACAAGAGATACCACGTGGCACGGGACAAGCGACTGTAAATTACGGAAAACGGTGAACCAGAACAACATATTTGGAGAGGCAGAATTATTTTGGCGATTCAGGTGGTCAAATCAAAAATCAAAATCAAGTGGCCAAACTGAAACTAAAAAGCATTGCCAATGAAGCGTCGCTTCGAACATTTGCGTTCACGGCCAGGGTCGAATAAGGGATAAATGGAGAAACTCGCAATATGGATAAATGTTTGCTTGAATCTTAGGTCCGTAGCGGGAACGTAGCGACTTTATCGTGTTACTTTCGGAGTGGATTGGAGTAGTGACTTTCCTTGGTTTTGTGGATCAGTGCTAACACGGGAGTCTAGGCAGAAAATGTAAGGAAACTTTGACTCTGTAGGGAGACCAAACTGATAACGCACACGATGGTCAAATTCAATAGATGGATTAGGTGGATTAGGGTAAGATCGTCCAAGGGGCAGTTTGGACCAAGTAAACGAGTTGTTCCTATTTGCAGCGATGGAGGGGAACAGTGGCGAGGGAGACTATCCAGAGAATGAAAAGAAGGGTTCGGGTGAAATATCAAACTAAGCATGGTATCTGCATGTCACCGTCGCTTTGACATAAATTGTTTTCCGAGAAGTCTTGTAACTAGCCCATGGTGGATGTAATCGGACCGCTACAGTGTTCGGCGAAATCGCCGTCTAGCCAGGAAGATCCACAAGGGCAGACGAGAGTCGATGTGGGATTTCCGGTAATTTAGTTTAAGCCAAAGCTATAGGTGAATATAATCCTGAGAGAAGAACAGGTAGATAGTGTTCGATGCATTCACCGCCGGAAATTGAGGCCCTCATTTTGTTTTTCTCCAAAGTCGGAATTTTTATGCCCAAGCAGGACGTGAACCAAAAGGTCATATCGCACATGGTAGTGCACAAGAATAAATTTCACGGTGTGTTAATTTGAGTTTGCCGCTTGGTTATAAATCTGGAAGAGGCAACAAAGCTTGTAGATTGCTCTCTTGTAGCCTTGGTGTTTAATTTATATCCGGATAGGTATACCACGAAGATCTCATCAAAATTGGAACGAATACACCTTCTGGCACAACATCTCGGTAGACTGAAGCTTGATTAGTTTTTCTGCACCCCGTCGAACGCGCGTGCTTCTACATTGCATATTGATCCGACATGCTCCACCCAACGGGAAATGATCCGTGAACGGCAAACTTAAAAGTCATCGTCTTTGCTCACCTTGGATATTGATGGACTCCTCTTTCCAGTGACATGATTTTCGTCTGCTAACTGTGTGATATGCAGTGCGGCAGTAGATTGACACAGCCCAGTAATGCAAGTGAGACAAAAACCCGGAGTTCAAATGTCAGCCAGCTGAACCATTCAGATAAATCTAGTCGCCTACTTAAAGCTGAGCACTATGGCCGAAAATAGGGAAAGCTTCCTCCTATTGAATGATGCGGACGATTTAGTTCAGGAAGTTAAGTCCCACTTTTTTCCACACGAAACACCCCAGTCCGTGGCGTCAAAGGTGCGCATATGGGCATTCCAATCGAGCTGTCAGATTTTATTAAACCTGGATCTGGATGACCAAATGATTAGAAATTTCGTATCATGCATGGATTACAATTATCCTTCTGGATCTGTATGTATGCAAATATCCGCTTCCATACTCAATCCCATAAGTTACATCTTCCAAATAGCTCACGGGTGTGTGCCAGCATGCTGCTTGAAACAATAATAATGTTAATCGTATTCAAAATTTTGGAGCTTTCCGATAGCCAGAGAACTACAAACACACGCGTTTGCAAGCTCAATGTGAGGTTTTGTTTTGTTTGACACCCAGCATGGTTTTCAAAAATTTTAGTCTTGTGTTTAAAACCTCATGGCCTGAAGCGTTCTTACCAACTCTCGATGAAAAAAAGCACTGGCATCAGTTTCTCATAGTTCACCGGGGCGCTTGATAAAGTTCTTTGTAAAAACCTCTCAATAAGCCTCTAAGATAAC